AAGTGGCCTGCACGGCAGCCTGAACTTCTTGCAGAGTCTTCTATTGTTCTGGAACCCACTCAAAACTAACAGCTTTTTGAGTCGCTTGATAAATAAGCTGGAGTAGCACAGTCAGATGAGGAATATGTTGCTTCCAAAATCCAAAGAGGCCCATTAGGCGTTGTGCCTCCTTTTTAGTTGTGGGAGTGGCCAGATACAATAACTTTTCCTTCACTGTAGAAGGAATATCTCGACATGCCTTACATCCCTGGACCCCTAGAAATTTCATTGAGGTGGAAGATGCCTGAATTTTTATGGGATTAATTTCCCATCCTCTAGCACACAAATGTTTTACCAATAAGTCCAGAGTCATTGACACTTCTTCCTTACTAGGTCCAATCAGCATAATGTCATCAATGTTATGGACCAGTGTGATGTCTTGTGGAAGGGAAAGGTGATCAAGTTCCCTGCAAACTAAATTACGACATAGGGCTGGAGAGTAGATGTAGCCTGAGGTAGGCAAGTGAAGGTGTATTGCTGGCCTTGCCAGCTGAAGGCAAACTGCTTCTGGTGGTCCTTTGAAACAGTATGGAGAAAAAGGGATTAGCCAGATCAATAGCTGCATACCAGGTACCAGGAGATGTATTAATTTGCTCAAGCAATGAAACTACATCTGGAACAGCAGCTGCAATTGGATTCACCACCTGGTTAAGTTTTCAATAATCTACTGTCATTCTCCAAGATCCATCTGTTTTTTGCACAGGCCAAATAGGCGAGTTGAATGGGGATGTGGTGGGAATCACCACCCTTGCATCCTTCAAGTCCTTGATGGTGATAGTAATCTCTGCAATCCCTCCAGGAATGTGGTATTTCTTTTGGTTTACTATTTTCCTTGTTACGGGCAGTTCTAATGGCTTCCACTTGGCTTTTCCTGCCATAATAGCCCTTACTCCATTTGTCAGGGATCCAATGTGGGGGTTCTGCTGGTTGTTGAGTATATCTATTTCAGTTATGCATTCTGGAACTGGGGAAATCACTACAGGATGGGTTTGGGGACTCACTGGACCTACTATGAGATGGACATGAGCCAAGACTCCATGGATAACCTGACCTTCATATGCCCCCACTCTGACTGGTGGGCCACAGTGACGTTTTAGGTGTCCTGGAATTAGTGTCAGTTCAGAGCCAGTATCCAGTAATCCCCAAAAAGTCTGATTGTTTCCTTTTCCCCAGTGAACAGTGACTCTTATAAAAGGCCATAGATCCCTTTGGGGAAGGCTGGAAGAGAGATTAACAGTATAAATTTTTGGCAGCTTATTGGAGTTCTTCTTCAAGGGGACCCGGCCTCTCCTTCATTCAAGGAGTTGTGGGTCTTTAAACTCTCTCAAGTCTGGGGATTGATTGAGGGACTGTGACTCTCTATTCTGGTGATTCGAGTTAGACTGCTGTTCACCTGATCTAGAATTCATCTGTTTGTACAGATCAAGTAAATATTTAGTAGATTGCCTATCTATTTCACTTCTAGGGACACCATGACTAAGTAGCCAGCGCCATAAGTCTATATGAGTCAGACTATTCTGATTACTGCTTTGACTCCGCTGTCCATTACTGTAACCATGCCCACCTTGTCTTTGTCGATTGAGTGCTACCACTTGGCCCCTACTACCATGAGGTCCAATCAGCCCCATTGTCCTTAGGTGTCATATTTCAGTTAGGGCAGTTCCCACTGTCAAATCTTACCTACATAAAATCGCAATCGCAGCAATTTCCTAGAATGCTGGAGCTCCCTTCACAAATTTGTTCCTCACAGTTGTGGTTAAAGGCATGTCCTCTGGTCATTCCATGTGTGGGTCTGTGGGTCTAACCTGATAAATCCAATTTCCCTAAGCCTTTGGATACCTTCTTCTACAGTATACCAAAGTAGGCCTGGTACTTCAATTTGATTTAGTGTAGGCCACTGCATAATCCATGCTTCAGCAACCCAACCAAACAAGCTATTAGATCATTTCCTAACTTCTCAAGCTGGAACACTGAATGAAAAATCTGTGCTTAGTGGACCCATATCAATAAACTCAGACTGATCCATCTTTATGGTCCTTGTACCATTATGCCACACCCTTAATAGACATTCTCGCACATATTCCCGAGGTTTCTGTTTGTACATATTAGAAAAACCAAGCAGTTCTTTCGAAGTGTAGCATACCTCCTCCTGTGTCACACTTTGTAGTTTACCTTTTGGGGCTTGCTGGGACTTAAGTCTAGTTATAGGTCTAGAAGCCAGAATCAATAGTGTGGAATTGTTTTGAGAACATTCAGCATTGTCATGTAAAGCATCTGCCTCAGGCGATGCCCCAGGCAATGACTCAGTAAGGGCTCTTTAGAGGCAGCTGGGCTAGGGCTAATGTCATTAGATGGGAGTGGAGGGGCTAATGGTTCTTCTGGGCAGGATGGTGTAGCAGACAAACAGGAAGTAATCTCTCCAGATGGGAGTGGTTCTGTTGGCAGGAGTGATTCAATGGAATTTACTGAATTGCTGCAATCTCATGATAAAACTTTAACCAATGAGTTGCTTCTTATGGATGAGCACAGAAAGTGGTTTCTTAAGATGGAATATACTCCTGGTGAAGATGCTGTGAACATTGTTGAAATGACAACAAAGGATTTAGAACATTACATAAACTTAATTAATAAAGTAGCAGCAGGGTTTGAGAGGACTGACTCCAATTTTGAAAGGGGTTCTAGTGCAGGTAAAATGCTATCAAACAGCATCGCATGCTACAGAAAAATCTTTCATGAAAGGAAGAGTCAATGGATGCGGGAAACTTCATTGTTGTCTTATTTTAAGAAATTGCCACAGCTACCCAAACGTTCAGCAGCCACCACCCTGATCAGTCAGCAGCTATTAACATCAAGGCAAAACTCTCCATCAGCAAAAAGATTACGACTCACTGAAGGCTCAGACGATGGTTAGCTTTTTTTAGCAATAAAGTATTTTTTAGTTAAGGTACATGTATTTTTTTTACACATAATGCTATTGCACACTTAATAGACTACAGTATAGTGTAAACAACTTTTATATGTACTGGGAAACCAAAAAATTCATGTGATGCGCTTTATTGCTATATACACTTTATTGCGACACAATGGAACCAAACCTGCAATATCTCTGAGGTATGCCTGTATAACCAAGCTCTTGAAAACCAAAGATAAAGTGAGAATCTTGAAAGCAGCAAGAGTGAATCGAATTGTCACATACAAAGGATCCTCAATAAGATTAAATGCTGATTTCTTCTTAGAAACCTTGGAGGCTAGAAGGCAGTGGAATGATGCTTTCCAAGTCCTTAAAGAACAGTCAGTGAAGAATTCTATATCCAACAAAGCCGTCTTTCAGAAGTGAGGGCAAAATTAAGACATTTCTAGATTATCAAAAGCTGAGGGATTTTGTTATGATCAGACCTGCCCTACAAGAAATACAAAAGGGAGTCCTTAAGATGGAAAGGAAAGGACACTAGATAGTAAATTGAAACTGTACATAGAAAAAAAGATCTCCAGTTAATTTCATGGGCAATAAGGGCCAGTTTTATGGTATTTTCCATTGGTAATTCTAGTTGTTATGTCTCGTATTCTTTATACTGACAAATGCATAAAAATAAGTATAAATTGATGTTATTGGACACACGATGTATGAACATGTAATTAATGATAACAGTACAATCCAGGGCAGGGGGAGAAGTGGTATAGGAACCAGTTTTTATAAGTTACTGAAGTTGAGCTCATATCAACTTAAACTAGGTTGTTAGAAATTTAAGCTGTTAAATGTAATCCTCATGGTAACCACAAAGAAAATATCTAAACGTATACACAGAAAGAAAGAGAAGGGAATCGAAATAGTTCAATACAAAAAATCAACTAAACACAAATGATGGCAGTATTAAAGAAAACGAGACAAAAAAAGTTTCAGACACACAAAAAACAAATAGCAAAATCACAGAAGTCCTTCCTTATCAGTAATTACCTTAAATGCAAGTGAATTAAACTCTCCAATCAAAACGCAGAGATTGCAGAATGGATTTAAAAAAAAAAAAAAGATCCATTTATATTGTCTACAAGAGACACATTTTAGGCCCAAAGACATAAATAGGTTGAAAGTGAAAGTATAGAAAAATATTCCTTGCAAATAGCAACCAAAAAGAGCTAGACTGGCCATAGTGATATCAGACAAAATAGACTTTAAGTCAAAATCTGATATTAGAGACAAAGATACCGGGTAGGGGTGGAGGCTTAGCACCTGCTGGGCCTTGCGGACACCAAGGTGGTGGGGTTCAAAGGGAGGATGAAGCTAAGTGATGAGTAGCTGTGCTTTGTACTACTGTTTAAATTTTGTTGCTGCAACAAGTGCAGCAAACGGGAGGGTATACTTACTTTGCCACTGGACCCCACTGACACTATCCCAGTAGGGAAATCAGAGCGTCACCACCTGCTTTTGCCAGCTCCCTCCTTGGTCAGCCTACACCACCTGACAGGGGAATCAGATGCTTCTGCCAGGTAGAAGATGGAAGATTATTTTCCTGCTGAGCCCCACCAACACCACAGGCTGTTGAGTTTCAGAGCACTACTGCCTGCTTGTATGGGATGGGGGTAGAATGTGGTGGAAGATCATCTCCCTGCTGTCCCCTACTGAAAACATGGCAGGGGGGAGGGGAGGTGGTTAGGCTGCTGTTGGGTTGATGTATGGTGGGTATTGTCAGAACATTTTTCTGTTAAACCACCATTTTTCTGATCCTATGCCTAGGGGGGAACAGGATTTTTTTGAAACCTTTTTTTTTGTTTTTTTTTTTTGTTTTTTTTTTGGTGTCTGCCTGTTGAAGGTTCCCGGTTGAAGCCTTCCACAATGCCCTGTCCGGGGAACATGGGAGACAATAAGGAAATACAGAGAGCTCCCTGCTATGTTGTTCCTCAAGTCCCAAGGTCCTAGGCAGTTTTATGCCTTCTTTCCATCTACCCTTGAGTCTTCCTGTGCTTATTTGTTATGTTCCAGGGTTTTTAGTTGTAAGAGGAAGGACTTGGGGACAAATGGGGGCTATTACATCTTGGCCAGACCCAGAAGTTGATTCATGACTTACTTAATTTTAACTTCTAAATGTCATTAGTCATGCATTCTAGCCGAATTCTTTCCAATTTTTATGTTTGTGTTTCCTACAATTTTCAACTTAAGCAGTAAGTGAAAAACAATTTAAAATGTATTTTAATCTTTAATTAATACTGACTTCTGATTGTATCTGCTTATTATTTTATACAGAGCATTTTCAAGAGTAAACAAAACAAAAGATACAGGTGTATTAAGTACAATTGTTATTTAACATTGTTCTTATCTGAGATTAAAAACTACATTTATTGCTGTTCTCTTGTACGACTGTGAGTTCATATTTTCACAAAGTACCTTCAGTAATTAGTACAAGAATACTGGCAGAATAGTTTAACAGCACTTATGCATATTGACTTAGAAGTACACTGAAGTAGGTGCCGCACATGATTTTCTAGCAGAATGGCCTCATTTCTTCTTTAGGAATGACGAATGACTCTTAGGATGGCATGCACATCCTGATGTATTTCTGAGTACCTTTATTCCATCTTTTGCATTGAGGATGACGCTTACTAAGTTGGAAGGCATGGCTGCTTCAATTATTGATGGGGACAGTTTTCCTCTTAATTCTGTCTGGACAAACATCACTAGTTTGGAATATGCTGGGTTCCTGGAAGCAAAGGAAGAGTTAAAAAAAGATAAAGAATTCTTAGATTTATCTATTGGAGTTACAAGTTTATAAGGAGCAGACTCTTGTCTTATCTACAATTGATTCCCTTCATAGTGCATATCATAGGGTAAATAGTTAACTGAACGAAGGAAGGGAAAAAAAGTAGAATGTTTTGCAGACACATCCCTATAAATGAAAATTTTACATAAAAACATTAAGAAAGTAAATAGTCAGAATGTGTCTCAAATGCTTTAGCTTTAGGCAGTTTTTCCTTTTCTGTAATTTCATTGATGTTTTAAATTATAAAAATAATGTATGCTTAATATAAAAATTTAAGCAATTTAGAAGTTTCATAATTATAGATTATCCCTCCCTTACTCCCCGCATTGTGTTCCCTGGAAACAGTGTTCATAATTTGACTGTATCTTTTCAGACTGTTGTCTATGTATAAAGATGGTATACACATGTGCATATATGTATATATACCCCACATATACACACATTTTTTTATAAAAATGAGATATATTCGTTTTTCTCTTAATAGTATATCATGCATTTCCTTCTTTGACACATACAGATCTGCTTAATTTTTTTTTTTTTTTGGCTGTATACAGTATTTCATACTCTATTTAACCAGTCCCTTATTGACTATCATTTAGGTTGTTTCTCACTTGTTGCTACCATAAATCAATCTGCAATAAAACATCTTTGTAATGTATTCATTTGCACTTCTATAAATACTTACGTAAAAGTTCTAGGACAAAGCTTTTGTGCATTTAACATTTTGAAATTTCCAAGTAGCCCTTGTGGAAGATTGCAATATTTTATACTTTCATCCAGTGATTTTCACACTGGAGTATGTGAAGACTTTCCAAGGGGTATGAAAGGATGAATACTTTTAAGGGAATAAATTTCCAAATCCTCAATTTATGTATGTACCTTTTCCTTAAACTAATCTATAAATATGCCTCTGATGGAGATGTAGGTTTCTTCCTCACCCACCAGCCTGTTCACAGTCACCTTTCTCCTGATTTATAGAACAAGGACATACCAGTCATCCTCCCTGAATAGTACTATCGTGCTTTACCCTGGCATATAAACATCTTTGACGTGTCAAAGAGAAAATTTGATCTGTTGGAAGTGAGTTGAGAAAGTGAATGACTGATGACTAGGGCAAAAATCCTTTTACAAGTCATGTTTTCAGTTCTTTGCTTTCAACAAAATTGAAAGATCTAATTATCAGCTGATAGGTCATTAAAAATAATTTTTAATGTAGGCTAGTATGCCATTTTTGGTATATAACTCAGAAGTTCAAGGGATTGAATGATACTGATAAAATTATACTCCTTCCATTTTAAGCCATTGTTTATGTGAACAAAGTTACTCAGTGTCTATCTATAAAAATGAAAAGTAGGAGTAGACTTGATGTTGAATACTGTCTGTTTTATCAGTAAGTAATACATGTCCACGGTTAAATGAAATGGGTGTGACAGTTAGAAGCATGGACTCTGCCACCAATCTGCTTTGGTAGGAAGCCAAGCTTTGCTATTACCTATGTGTGATCTCAACAAAGTTAATGTTTCCTGGCTTCCCTTTTTTTTTTTCCTTCTGTAAAATGTGGATAGCAATACTAACTATTTATAGGGTTATTATGAGTTTCAAATGAGTCAATATATGTAAATTGTTTATAACAGTGCCTGGCACATAGTAAATGTGATCTTAGTTTTGTTAATAATAAGAGATGTGTTTCCAGTAAGTTTGTTTTTTTTATGTTTAATAATTATTTAAAAAAATTTTAATGTATATTTTTTATATTGATCAATGTGTAATAACAATTCCATCTGCCTGGCATATATATTTTTTAACATTTAGCTATTATGATCACAGAAAATAAGTTAAAAATGTTAATTTAAATACGTATTTTTGTTGTAGAGAAGTAATGATAGGTGATTAATAAAAGACTTGAAAGCATAAAATATATTCTATTAAGATAAAATTATATGAGGGAAAAAGAAAAAAGTTTGAGTTCAAGGAGTAAACAAATGATGTAAAATTTCAGATGGTTAAATGTTGTAAGCATTTTTAAATAAATAATGTAATGATGGGTTTCAAGTAGCTATGGTGCTTAGATTCTATCAGATATATTTGCAAGCATGATCTAACCATTTTTCAAAATGTCAATATTTACAGTATCCTGGAAATTGCAGCATTTTCATCAGTTTAAACTTATGAAAAATTTTTGTGTCAACTTAAAAATGTGCGAGGGGGAATACAGGTGTACAAAATTCTTTTCGTGGGTATGAAGGCACTGCTCCAACCAACCATGTGAGTGTCCATTTCCTGATGTTCTTCTCTATGCAGAGTTTCGACTATTACAGTGCCTAAAATGAGAATACTCACTAGCAGTGTTAATGGTCTTGAATCTCTACGAATCTACTAGAACTTTACACACTTAAAAAAAGCTTTCTAATATCCACTAGAGAATACCATCATTACTGATACTATGTTTTATAAGTTTTCTACGTGGCTCTCAGCAGACAATTCATTGGAAAGAATTCATTCCAGGTAAAGCGTTACTTGCTGATAAATGTAAATGTATTATAATTCTACGGAAATTTTATTTTTAATTTAGGAAAATTCCTTAATAATTCACGGAAGTGACCTTAATGGAGAGTCATAAAACATCATCACCAGAAGTTTAGATAAGGGGAAACGTTTGTGTGTGTGTGTGTTTGTGTGTGTGTGTGAGAGGGACAGACTATTCCTAGCAACCTCAAATTATACTTTATAGGGAAGTAACCATTCTGATTATACTTTATAAACAATTATTAAAAAATATTTAAAAAACTGCATTTAGGGGCAGCCTTTGCCCCAACAGAATATGCTGCCGTATATTTCCACTATGAGCCGGGAACCCTTTAGTCGACAAAGAAAAAATTGAACTACAAAACTATTAAAAAAAAAACAAATGCAACACTTACTCTTGCAGAGGTGAACATACGTAGCCACAAGGATGGTTATAACCACGGATATAATTTGAAGATGGAGGATATTCCGGAAAATCCACACTATTAGCTAAATAATTTTAAAAAATAGGAAATGAAACCTATTCCACAATGATGAAAAACTCTTAATTCCAGTAGCATATTTTTAAAAATGTATATCATTTAACTTATTTATTGTCAGCATTAACATTAGTTTTATACATGTGTATGTATGTTTGTGCATATGAATATGCATGCAGGCCAAAACTGAGAAAACACCAGTATGGTACTATGTCCACTCAAACTTTTTTATGCTAGTATTTCTAAAGAAATCCACACTGGAAAAATTGTTAAAGTATCATTTAATTACTTTCTGAGATTTGAAGCAAAAGAAGAAATCACAAAGATACGACTTCTATTAGGATAGTAGGGTTATAGATTTTTGTTATGTTTTTTAAAAAAATATATTTAAAGTGGTTATATGTTGTCAGAAAAGATAGGTGAAAATATCCCCAGTTCTGCCAACTCTCTGAGCTAACCTCAAAATATAATGAAGAATCAGCAGTTTATTTTAAGAACTATGTGGCATAATATCTGTATCGTGTGTGAACGTAGAAGAGAGGCGATTTGATTATTAAGTTTATGATATATTTATATATACCCTTTTAAAAATATAAAAAATTATATATACTTGTTTATCCTGTGCAACTGAGTCCTGCTCTTGTCAGAGAAGATGTCTTCTCCTATATGATTTCAAAACAAGCTATCAATTCTTTGGGGAATACAATGTTAGACGGTAGCTTAGAGATCAATGTGGTTGAATGAATTTCCCATTTTAAACTAGTTGACCTGAATCATCATCTTAACAGAGCCTGTTTTGTTGGCATGACAACATGGTACTGACAGAAGTGATATTAAAATATTTTTTCTGTGTTTAAAGTGGAGATTGTCTGTCTCTTTTTAAAAAAAATCTGTTATTTTCCACAGTCTGGGTGTTTTGTGACACAGTGTGGCAGTTAGCACAGATTTTGGAAAATCAAAAAGACCTGAGTTTTAATCTGGTTCAGCTACTTATTAGCTATGTTATCTTAATTTCTTAACTGATTAATTTCTGTGAATGTCAGTTTCCTCATTAGTGAGATAATGCATGCAACATATTTAACAAGGTGCATACCATAGTAAGGTGCATAGTAAGCTAAAAAAAAAAGAAACATTAAGAAAACCCAGTACTCATCAAAAATTCATTTAAATTGCTTACAGCGAATTCAGTAGTAATTCATGCACTTAGTGACTGATTACCTCTACAGTGATTTTAACCTGTTACTTTTTTACCTCCTGTCTACCAATAATGATAGAAATGGTCTACTTTCAAAATATGGAAAATAATAGATCTATAATACTGTTTTTTTGTTTTGTAGGCAGTGAATATCTTTTTATGTGACCTCACTTAAAAAATGAAACAACCAAACACATGTGCAAGTTATGAACATCAACTCTTAGTGTTATGCTGCAAGTTAGAGCTACTTGAGTTTGAGTGTATTAGGAGAGCTATGACTCAGTTTGGACTCTGCAAGAATACTACAGACATATCAGAGGACCTGAAACCTTGCTGGGAAATAATAATTAACCAAATCAATGTCCCTACCTCCAAGTGTTTATAGTAGGGGAAGCTATTCATATAGGAGTGATGAGATTAAATCAAATTACGGAGAAAAACAGCAAATTATGCCACTGTGCTACCAAAATCCCTTCACCATGAGCTCTCTTAAGTTGTCTGAGTCCAAAGATTCTTATGGTATGAACTGGTATCTTTTGAATAATGTAAGTTAGGAAATAGCTATACATCTGTATATTTTACAGAGTGACACATTGTGGGGAGGACTAGGAATATATTAGAACCTCCAGTTTCTAAAGGAAATACTATGAGCATATTTATATAAAGACCCATCTAGTGGAAATTTTGTCAGTAACTGGATATGCCCATTCTAAGCAATTCAAATATAAAATTATATATTCAAAACTTAGTTTTGTTTCTTTGGAACTTTAGAATGTATACCTTGAAGTTTAGTCTACAACCATCTATCTATACTCAGTGCTGCAAGGTGTATGATACACAAATCCAGGAGATGCCATAATCTGATGAGTATGATGTAAATGATGCCTCTAGAATTGCTTGTCTACATGACACATGTACTTTGTTGGTCCCACTGACTAAATAAAAGCATAAAGGAAATTATTAAAAATATAGTTTTTTCCAAACTATGAATTAAAGGCAAAAATTATTAATGACATGGAAATTTCAAAATGTGGGCAAAATGTTTCAACTTACAACTGATAATCACTCTATTCCCTTCATACTGCTTGATGTGTACTAAGTCGATAAAGTCTCGGGGGGAAATTGAGCCCATGGCAAAACTTTGTGTAATGGCATGACATATGAATGTGTCCTGCAACAAATCAAAACATAAAGATTGCAACAATTATTTTAATTTCTTTGTGTTGATCCCCAAAGAATTTTATTGTATGAGGTTGACCTCTGTTTGGAAAAAGCAGAGCTTTGAAATTTTAAGACCTTATCACCAAATCAGCTTGCATTTTCAGTGTTGAAGGACCATTAGATCTATAGTTAGAATGTAAAGAATTCAAGAAAGGAATCCTGAGATCATCTATTCTTTTTAATTTTTAGATAGAGAAATTAAGGCCGAATAGATTAAATCACATTTACAACTAGAGATAAATGCACAGCTAAAATCCAGGTTTCCTGATTCCCAGTGTAGTACTATTCGTATTACTCCACATTGGCTAGGTATTGTGTCCTAGAAAATATGTTAATTTACCATCCCTGGAGACAAATACTACAAACATTCATAGAGAGGTAAAATAATTCTTCTTACAGTGCAGTGTTATTCAGAGATAACTGTCATATATTGGAAAGGGCCTGCAATTTGGAATCAGGAGACCAGGTACAAGTTGTAGTTCTGCCATGTATTAGCTGTGGTGCGTGAGTAAGTCATATAATCTCTCTCAATCTGTTTTTAAGTTTTTTGACTCCAAGTCCAGTATTCTTTCCACTACTACAGCTGATTTTCAGCAACAGTAGAGATATCTGAAGTGCTAGTGGAACTGTATTAGTGTTATATAATCATGAATGAAACAGTCCAATGTTTGGGTTTTAATTTGTGACAACCAGTGTTTCTCAAACTGAATGTTCAAATCCCAAGGGGGTCGTGGACGTTATTTTTTTTTTTTTTTTTGTGGATAGGAACTTCAGGACCTCTCTACAAGACGAAACTGATTTGCCTTCCTAGGCTTTTCTACAACCTTTCTTCCCTCCCAGACTATAATCAGTTTAATTAAAGGAGGTGAAACTAAGCTACAAGAATTCTAAATAAATGACAAAGTGATGGCAGATATGTGGGACATTTAATTTTTTTAATTTTGATGAGTTGGATTGAAGGTTGGAGAGTTAAAGAATCAAAGACCCTGTGATATATTTGACAAATGCAATCATTCATGAAAATCATAAAAGTTTGTTTTACCCCATCCCCTCACATTTATCACTTTTTTCTAATAAAGTTATTATTCACAAAAACCTAGGACTCACTTTTTTAAAAACAACTTTCCTAAGGTACAATTTACATACCATAAATTCACCAATTTTAAGTGTACAGTTCAATGGGTATACTAGATTTGTGTAATCATTACCACAATCCACTTTGGGAGGACACCTCTGATTCTTCTCTATCCCTCCATCGGTAAGTCCTATTGATTCCATTGCTAAAATGTATGTTTGAAAGCTCTGATTTATCTGTCTCTTCACTGCTACCACCCTAGCCCAAGCCACCATCATTTCTCATTTAGACGTCTATGATAGCCTCCTAACTAGTCTCGCTGATTTCATCCTTGCTCTCTTAAAGTCCACTCTCCATTCAGCTGTTATATCTTAAAAGTGTAAATGAAATTAGTCACTCTTCTGCTTAGCCTCCAATGGCTTCCCACTGAATGTAGACTAGTTTCTCCTTATGACCTATGAGGCTCTTACAGAATCAGATCCCAGCCTAACCTCTCCAACATCACCTCTTGTCACTCTTTTCCTTGCTCTTTATATTCAAACTCTACAGACCTTGTTTTCCTATTCAAGCTCTCTCCAGCCTCAAGGCCTTTGCAATTACTTTCCCCTCTGCCTGCTACACTCTCCCCCAGATCTTTGCATGTCTATTTCCATCACCTCCATCTTGTTATTTGGGTTTCTACTCAAATGTCTCTCATCTGAGAGGCCTTCCTTGATTACCTGCTTATAAATTAGCTTCTCCTGGTCACTGCCTAGCTTATTATCCTTCATACTACTTGTCATTCTGATGACTCCCAGCCCTCATAATACTTAGCATTGCCTGACATTATCTTGGTTTTATAAATTATTTACTTCTGACTATACTATAAGCTCTCTGAAGGTGAACGCAGGGACATTTTCAGTCTTGTTGCCTCATGTATCCCCAGTGGCTGAAACAGTATGTAGTTCACAATAGGTGCTAAAAAAGTATCCATGGAATTAATTGGTAAAAAAGAACATAAGCATTTGTCTGTCTGGGGAGGAGACTGTTGGGAACAAAGTTAGGATCCCCACCCCACCCCCCAAATAGATTGGTAAGAGGGGAAAAAAATCACACAAGCAACAACAGAAATGGAGGATTCCAATACATTACACTTAGAGACGAGCATTATCCCCTTCCCCCACCAGGTAATTATATTTTAATAGTGGTCTAAATTAACGAATGAGCGACCTATAGTGTGCTGCACCAAAGTTCAGGATTGCTTACCCCACTCCTTGTTTCAACCTCTTTTTACCATGCAGTATCCATACTCTCTCATTTCATTATTTTCCTCCTCCTGAGCTTTCACACGCTTGGCAGTTCTCAAGCTGAAAGAACTGAAGAAAAAATTCAAGCCTCAAGTTGCAATACTGAAGGATTCTATGGGCATAATATTGATTGATGCAGGAAGCATAAAAAGAAGATGGAAGGAACACCCAGAGTCACTGTACCAAAAAGAACTGGTCGACGTTCATCCTTTTCTGGAGGTAGCATATGATCAAGAATGATGGTACAAAAGCCCAAGCTTCACTGAAGGCACTGGCGAAAAACAAGTCTCCAGGAATTGACAGAATACCAATTGAGACATTTCAACAATCGGATGCAGCACTGGAGGTGCTTAATTCGTCTATGCCAAAACATTTGAAAGACAACTGACTGGAAGAGATCCATATTTACACCTATTCCAAAGAAAGGTGATCCAACAGAATGTGGAAATTATCAAACAATATCATTAGTACCACACAAGTAAAATTTTGCTGAAGATCATTCAAAAGTGGTTGCAGCAGTACACTGACAGGGAACTGCCAGAAATTCAAGCCGGATTCAGAAGAGGATGTGGAATGAGGGATATCATTGCTGATGTCAGATAGACCCTGGCTGAAAGCAGAGAATACCAGAAGGATGTTTACCTGTGTTTTATTGACTATGCAAAAGTATTTGACTCTGTGGATCATAACAAATTATGGATAACTAAGAATGGGAATTCCAGAATACTTAATTGTGCTCATGCGGAATCTGTACATAGACTAAGAGGTAGGCACTGGAACAAAATAAGGAGATACTGCATGGTTTAAAGTCAGGAAAAGTGTGTGTCAGGGTTGTATCTTTTCACCATACCTATTCAATCTGTATGCTGAGCAAATAATCTGAGAAACTAGGCTATATGAAGAATTTGACATCAGGATTGGAGGAAGACTCATTAACAACCTGCATTACACAGATAACATAACCTTGCTTGCTAAAAGTGAAGAGGACTTGAAGCACTTACTGATGAAGATCAAAGACTATAGCCTTCAGTACGGATTACACCTCAGCATAAAGAAAACAAAAATCCTCACAACTGGACCAATAAGCAACATTATGATAAATGGAGAAAAGACTGAAATTGTGAAGGATTTTATTTTACTTGGATCCACAACCAATGCCCATGGAAGCAGCAGTTAAGAAATCAAAAGACATACTGCAATGGGCAAATCTGCTGCAAAGGTCTCTTTAAAGTGTTAAAAAGCAAAGATGTCACCTTGAAGACTAAGGTGCACTGGACCCAAGCCATGGTGTTTTTAATCACCTCACATGCATGCGAAAGCTGGACGATGAATAAGGAAGATGGAAGAATTGATGCCTTTGAATTATGGCGCTGGTAAAGAATATTGAATATACCGTGGATTGCCAGAAGAATGAACAAATCTGTCTTGGAAGAAGTACAGCCAGAATGCTCCTTACAAGCAAGGATGGCGAGACTTTGTCTCACGAACTTTGGACATATTATCAGGAGGGACCAGTCCCTGGAGAAGGACATCATGCTTAGTAAAGTACAGGGTCAGCCAAAAAGAGAAAGATCCTCAACGAGATGGACTGTCCCAGTGGCAGCAACAATGGGCTCAAGCATAAAAACAATTATGAAGATGGTGCAGGACCAGGCAGTGTTTTGTTCTGTTGTTGATAGGGTAGCTAGGAGTTGGAACTGACTTGACGGCACCCAACAACAAGAAGCTTTCACTCTACCCTTGCCTTCTACTGCTTTTTTTTTTCTCTCCCCTTCTAAACTGTTCTTGCTTCTCATTCTTCTTTCTCTCACCTCTCCATATCTTCAGCTTTCTACTCCGATTACCTATATTTTTCTTTTCTCCTTTTTTCCCTCTCTCTTCATGTCTGTTTAACAGAGATGATGTATTTGAAAGTGTTTCTGAAATTGCAAATCTATATAATGTTATATTATACTTTGTCTTTACTCTTTATAAAACCAAAACTATTTGTTGTCTCTTCTTAGGTCTCCACAATGTGTATCTGCATTGTTCCTGTTATCTAATGTTATATGACTATGTCTACTGATTTCCCATCAACAAGGCATGCCTACTCTTTTTTTTTTAATCCATATGTTGAATCTCCTCATAAGAAAAGCACACATTTCCAAGAGAGCAGACTAGATTCAGAATTTACAAACAAAATAAGCTACTTGGAATTAAGCCCTTGATTAATAAAGAGAGGAGTTTTAAGGCTTTTATAAAGATTTTAACTCAATTTCTATCTATAAAATACTAAGTGTCTATATAACATAGGTTTAGCAAATGCTAATCACTAGGATACAAAACAACTAAAAGGATTATTAATACAGTAAAAGTCCAATATTAAACATCGAATTACCGAATCAATCCTGTGAACCACATTGAACACTTTCAATGACTTATCCCATGTAACTCTGTGTTCAGGTAGGTAGAGAAGTTCAGATAGTTTACTTGTTGATTGTGGAATTATCCCTTCAACACGATAGCTAGAGTTAGCAAAATAAAGAAGATCCAAAATTTAATAAATAAACTAAGTTGAAAATACAATGCTATTACAGTATAAAGGTACACTAACTTAGCAATTAACAGTAAAGAAAACTTTAAGGTAATATCAGCAATTCCATACATTAATATTTAGTTGGAACCAACCAGGTTTATTTAAATGTACATTGCAATAATGAATATGCATTATTTAAAATTCATTTTTTCTACAGACTTTATAATGTTTCTGTAATTGTCTTTTTAAAAGGACTTCTTTCATTTTATTTACGATCATTCTAAAATTTATCTAATCAATTTTTACTTGCTGTATTTATCATAAACCAACAGTAATCGATAAGAAGTTTGTGTAGCTACACAGTAACTTATGGCACCAATTCTTAAGGACGTAATGTGGTCTAGAGCAGGCATTGGCAAACTTTTTGGTAGAGGGCCAGGTAGTGAATAATTTAGGCATTGCAGCCACAAGGTTTCTATTGCAACTAATCAAATCTGCTAGCGTAGTGGGAGAGTAGTTCTAGGCAACATGTAACTGACTGAGAATGACTGTGTTCCAATAAGGCCTTATTTCTGGGCACTGAATCTCATATAATTTTCATACGTCATGAAGATTTTTGTTTTGATTTTGTATTTCAACCATTTAAAAATGAATAAACCATGCTTAGCTTACAGGCTGTACAGATAACAGACAGTGGGCTGGATTTGGGCCATGGGCCACAGTTTGCCAATCCCTGGTCTGGAGCCCTGGTAGTGCAGTGGTTAAGAGCTCAGCTGCTAACCAAAAGGTCAGTAGTCTGAATTCACCAGCTGCTCCTTGGAAACCCTATGGGGCAGACTCTGTCTTATAGGGTTGTTATGAATTGGAATTGACTGAACGGCAACAGGTTTTTGGTCAGAGGTGCTAGTATTATCCTGAATTAGTCTAAATTCTAGCTTAAGATCAACAACTTGGCCAGGTAACTAACATTTGTGTGGGTCTGGTTCATCAATAATATTAAGGTAGTGTGTGAAAACTAGATTAACACTATTTACCAGAAAATTTTAACGAAAATTTTAACAAAAATGAAGTCTGAACAATATTGGATGTACTCTTTTCCCTGATAATCATTCTTATATGTTTATTTTAAACACTATTTAGTATAAAACTTCTCTATATTTTGATAAAAATTCTTTACTAATTACATTGTAAATATTTTCCCAGGCTACAGCCTATTCTTTCACTTTGTTTATTTCTTATGGTACAGAAGTGTTTCATTTTAATGTAGTAAAATTTACTAACATATTCCATTATGGTTTATTCTTTTTATGCCTTCTGTAAAATACCATTTTCTACACCAAGATTATTAAGATATTTTCTTACATTTTATTCTAAAATTTTATAGTTTTGTATTTCACATTTAGGACTACAAAACCCATTGCCGTCGAGTTGATTCCACTCATAGTGAACCTATTGGATGAGTAGAACTGCCCCATAGGGTTTCCAAGGAGCAGCTGGTGGATTCAAACTGCCGACCTTTTGGTTAGAAGCTGTAGCAGCTGTAGCTCGCCTTAGCTCTTAATCACTGTGCCACCAGGGCTCCATTTAGGACTACAATTTTATTTTACATGTAGAAAGAGTAACATTAGATCCTTATCTCACACCATATACAAGACCTGAACAGATACTTGTATATGGTGTGAGATGAGGATCTAACGTTACTCTTTCTACATACGAAATATAACTATATCAGCAGTTTACTGAATCCTTTCACCATTGTTTCGTAATGCCTTATCTGTCACATACTCCATTTCTGTGGAATTACTACCCCATATATTATTGCAAAGCTTATCTGATACTTGAAAGAAATTCCCCAGTAAAGATAGAAACTTATTAAAAACTCTCTAGATTGGAACTGGCTTATAATAAGTCTAATAATACTTTTTATGTCTGTATCTACGTAAGAACCCTGGTGGCACAGTGATTAAAGAGCTCGGCTGCTAGCCAAAAGGTTGGCAGCTCAAACCCACCAGCTGCTCCGAGAGAGAAAGATGTAAAGATTACAGCCTTGGAAACCTTACAGGGCAGTTCTATTCTGTCCTACAGGGTTGCCATGAGTCAGAATCCACTCAACAGCGGTGGGTTTGGTTTGCTACTTGCATAGTCTCTTATGTATGTTGTTGCTGTCAGCTGCTGTAGTGTTGGCCCTGACTTATGGTGACCTCATATGTTACAGGGTACAGCTGCTCTTTTGGGTTTTTGTGGCTGTAATCTTTATGGATGCAGATCACCAGGCCTTTCTTCCAAGGTACTGCTGGGTGGGTTCAAACCACCAAGCTTAAGGTTAGTAGTTAGCACAAATCATTTGTGCCACCCAGGGACCTAGTTGTTTAGATAACAAAGGTAGAGATTATCTCCCTAATAACTGATAAAATGAATGTAAGAAAGCACATCAGCTTTATCCTATAGTAAAAATTGTATTGATATACAAGGTAAGTAAATTTAAGCCAGATGCAAAAAGAGCAAGATTCACAAAATAAGTGAGTTGAAAGAAGTAGTGGACTCCAAAAGAAAAGGAATTTAATAAAACTTGCTTAGTAACAAAGTGCTCAATAACAAGATGATCTGATGGCATTAATATGATACCATGAGTAATAAATGAACAATTCTAAAAAATAAGGTTAAAAGATGTGAGCACAATTTCCCTTAGTGCACTTGCACTTGAAACAACAGCATCCTCAAAATGTCCTTAAAAGCAGCTTAGAGAAAAAACCGCATATATCAGCAAGAGAAATAAAATGAGGAAATAAACTGTACTTTTTAGTGGTTTATTTAATGGAAAGACAAAGGGTTTAAAAGACAAATACTACTTTAGCAAGAAAATACCAATCTGCTTTTCCAGTGATTCTTTTTTTTTTTTTAATTAACTTTTGTTGTTGTTGTCCTATCTTACTTCTTGAAATAGTCACTGGAAGAATTTTTTTTTTCCTGATTTTCTTCAGATTTGAAAATAAATGATTAAAGTACATAATTCTTCTTTAATATTATATTGCAATCTAATGACTTTATAGTTAATTTCTATTTCCTGATCATTATCAAATAATTTGTTAGAGTTAATGAGGCAGTGTTGAATTTAAAACAATGCTTGTAAATAGGAAATTGTACTCACATATTTCCATTGAATTTTTTAGAAGCCTTGCTGGAAACAGTTATCTTTTTCTCAAAGGGGAATAAAAATCCACAAATACATTAGCTGTCAGATACAGGAAAAATGAAAATGAAAAAAACAAAAACAAAAGCGCAACACATTTTTTTGGGGTATGGTTTGTAAAAGAAAATATTTTTTTTAAAAAGTCCTTACAATGAACTGTTTTTATTAAAAAAACAAACACTTGAAACCTATTTGTTTTCTTACTGAAGTTTTCACCACTTTCCAGCCCGCTGTATCTTGACTGTAACCTAAAACTTCTTGAGCAGTTTGCTGGGCAATTGCTTTATAGTCCATCTACCTGCAAAGTTTTAAAATCAAATGACTGGTAAGAGTGTAATCATACAAAAAGAAATTATACAATGCCATATTACATTTTAATACTATTTCTACAGGTCTGGCACATAGCAATGGGTGATAATTTGTTGAATGTATGAATGCATGCATGAGTGCCTTTCTCCTTAATCATAATCTTTCAAATGAGAAAATGTAGTACAGTGGAGAGAGCACAGGCATTGGAGTCAAAGAGACCTGGGTCAAATCCTCTCTTTGCCACTTACCTTTTGTGTGAAACAAGTTAATATTTCTGATTCCCCATTTTTCTCATGTTGTAAAACTGGAGTAACACCTACCTTGTAGAATTAGCATGAAGATTAAATCAGATGATGCACTTAATTGTTCTACCCCAATGCATGACACTTAAGTCATTTAATAATCATTATTACTTTTAACAGCTTAATTATCCTTCTTTTATCTTGTAAACCACTGCAATCTGTTGACTGTGTGTTCCTGGAGATTAATCTTTTTAAAACGAGTGGCAATACATGATCTGACCCCTGGCTTCCTCTCCAGACACACCAACTACCTCGCATTTTGCCCACTAAGCTCCAATCACATTGACCTCCTGACTATTTCTCAAACACAACCTAGCAATTTCCTACCTCAGGGTCTTTGTAGTTGCTGTTCCTTCTCCTTGGAACATTCTTTCCCAAAATGTTCACATGACTGAGTCCTCTTCATTGGTATCTTTGCTTAAATGTCACCTCCTCAAAGAGGATCAAGTTCAAATCAATTCAATTTAAACCCGGGACTCGATGGTAACTGGTTTGGTTTTTTTTAACTGAACCCTTATTAAGGGTTAGGTACTGTGGTAGGTATGGCAAAAACAGTTGAATAAGATACTGTTTCTGCTCCGAATGTGACAACACAGAGCTGGATTCAAATCTTGGCTTTGCCACTAACAACCAGCTGTATTATTTTGGTGAAAATGCTTAATCTCTGAGCTTCAATTTCCACAACTACAGAATGGGGATAATAATGCCTGTATCATAAGGTGGTTATATGGATTAAGAGAGTGAACATACGTTAAAGGACTGAAAACTCTTGGGCCAATTATGGATGATCAAAACGTTTAGATTCTTAAACGGATAAATTTAAACCAACCCTTTACAAAACTCTCCAAAGAGCTGGCTCTCTAAAGCACCTCAATGAACCATTTTAAAGTTTAATTATCAGAACTATTCTTCCTTAGCTGTCACTTAAAATTCTTTAGGTTGGATCACAAATCTATTTTCTCTTGTTTAGTTCTCCAGCAAGCCACAACAGCTAGTTGCCATTTTTTATGTTTGAAAAGATTTAGTAAACCATTAACCTCCTCTTCCCTAGTAGACTGTTTACCTTTCCTAATCTAGTCCAGAATTTTAATAACTATTGGGACTCTTCTCTGAATCCTCATGGAGATCTCCATATCGCTTAACCTGTGAAGGAAGAAAGTAAAAGAATTATTCTGACCCATGAATTGGTTCAGTATATTTGATAATTTCCTTTATATTTACTTACACTTTATATCCTCAATAGGAAACATTTGCCACCTATGCTCCAAGACAGAAGCAAATGGTAGTATGATCAATTTTAAAGATATTGTTTATGAAAAGAATCTTAAAAAAGTTATCTTAAAGAGGAACAGGTTAAAAAGACATTTAGATGGAATGTGGATAAAAATCTAACTTTTTAAGCTCACACTATTCACATTTTTTAAAAATTATACTTTAGATGAAGGTTTACAGAGCAAATCAGTTTCTCATTAAACAATTAATACACATATTGCTTTGTGACATTGGTTGCCAACCCCACATGTCAACACTCTCCCCTTCTCGACCTTGGGTTCCGCATTAACAGCTTTTCTGTCCCCTCCTGCCTTCTTGTCCTTGCCCCTGGGCTGGTGTGCCCATTTAGTCTCATTTTGTTTTATGGGCCTGTCTAATCTTTGGCTGAAGGGTGAACCTCAGGAGTGACTTCAGTACTAGGTTAAAAGGGTGTCTGGAGGCCATACTCTCAGGGTTTTTGCAGTCTCTGTCAGACTAGAAAGTCTGGTCTTTTTTGTGAGTTAGAATTTTGTCCTACATTTTTCTCCAGCTGTGTCCGGGATCCCCTATTGTGATCCTTGTCAGAGCAGTCTGTGGTGATAGCAGGGCACCAACTCGTTGTTCACACCATTAACATTTTACATAGATGTCACACAGCCATCCTTGGCTGGTCCTTGACCTGGGTTTGTCCTAACTTGAACTAGTTTTTTATTTCCTACCAGCAACCTACTTGATATTGACTGGCCTAAAAATTGTACAAATTATTGGAACATACCACTATACTGTAAGCTCCTGGGCTGCAGGGACTGTGTCATATTCATTTTCAAATAACTGGCATTTACCATACTCACTGCCACAATAAACGTGTGTTTTAATTGAATCACTAAACTGAATTTTATAGCTGCTGGACTTTTTCATCTGCTAAGAAAAAAGGGAAGATAAAGTTTTAGCGGGCTGGGGATGGGGAAAAGAAGAGAGAGCAAACAGCAAGGCTACAGTTGTTTTACCTGGTAATACCACTTCGGATGAGCAGGCACATACTCAGATGGAGCAGAGGTCAAGGATATCTTCACAGATCCGGTTAGTGGAAAATAAACACAAACCAATATTGAAATGGCATCTTTTTTTGACACACCACTTGGTTCAAACTGGATTCTTCGCACCTCACATCCTGTCCCAGCCTTGCAGACAGGTTCTCACATGTTGTTAGTGGGTCTTTACATCTGTTTGTATAATCTCCCACTTTCTGGGCTGCCTGACTGGGCCCCCAATCCGTGCTGGGTCACAGCCATTCATTCCTCCCTGGGAGTCAAGGTTCCCAAAGAGTTTGTTAAATCCCATCCCTGGCCAGACTCGGCTCCTCTAATCTCACATCTGCTTTGCGTGGGAGGGCCCGGCTCAGCGATGGGTGGGGAAGACACTCAGGAGGGAGGAAAGGAAATGGTGGGGGAGCTGCCCTCTTGCTGAGACGCTGCCTTTTCTGAGGACGCGGGGCAGGGTGGTCTGAAAGCGAGGAGTCCGAGCACACTCAGAAGGACTCGGGCTGTGGGGCTAGCTCTCGGCCAGCAAGAACTGTAGCCATCAGAGACCCCCAGTCCTTCTCCACGCCCTCCCTCCCACAGCCCCGGAGCCAAAGGAAGCTCAGCCGGTCACCTGCGCAGAATCGCAGAGAACAGCAGTGACGGAGGCAGGGAGGGCGTGGAGGGCAGCGAAGTGGCTGTAATCCCGAAACCCCTAGTCCCTAGAAGGATGGTGAGCGAAAAACAACAACCCCCAGAAGGCGGTGCGAACCAACGCCCGCAGTACCCTTTCCTCCCCCTGCTCGCCCCATCGCCCGAGTGTCGCGCATGCGCACCGCCAGCCAGCGCCATGTTGGGTCGGTTTGAAGGCGAGCGCGGGCGTCGCGCCCAGCTGTGACGGATGAAGGAGAGGCAGGAGGCGGAGGCTGAGGCGGCGCTGAGCCGGCCTGGGATGCTTTGGCTCTTTGGCTTTGTGGCGTCTCCCGCCGGGTAGCAGGCCTGGGCTTTCGGCGTAGAATTGTGGAAGTGTGCGTTTTTTATCTGTTTTTGGGCGGTCGTCGGTGAGTTAGGGCGGAAAGGAAGGTTTTCTTTTCTAGGGGCGTCTCTTTCTCTGACAGCCCGGGGACAAGGGCTAAAGGACGGGTGGCGAGGAGAGAAGAGGAAGACCTCTCCTGAGGGAAGGCGCAAGTTAGATTCCCCGTGGACCAGACAAAACTTTAGAGGAAGGGCTGTGGGGGCCGAGGAGGGTCCTGGGAGAGGACAGAGGGAACCTGGCGTGGCCTCTGGGGACTTGAGACGCATTGATGGAAGCCGTGCGGGAGGGAAGGGGCTTTGGTGTCGGGGGTTGTGGCCTCAGAAAAACTCCGTCGGTCAACTGTCGCGCTCGATGTGGCTGCTTAATAAATGGTTTCTGAGTGAAATGTAACTTAAGTGGAAACTACTTGTGTCTGTGTCTGAAGGGAGTGGCGAGTCCAAGGCAGGGTGTTTCCTAAATCAGTGCAGAGACGTTTGAACCCAGTGCTCTCGAGCTGGGGAAAAGATGCTCTGTGGTTAGGCTCCCGAACGGTGGCGTCACTAGGGGTGGGGTGCGGGGGTGCAGACCGCACCGGGTGACACTGTCAGAGGGGGTGACACCAAATGACTAAGAATTTTGTGCAGTGTTTCCGCAGAAATTTATTATTTTTTATAATAATATCCCTGTAGTTAATTATAACAACAAAAACATTTTTTCATAAGTCCAGCTTACATGTATCAATATATCTATAAGGCTAAAAGTCTATGCTGATTTACTTTTTGAGCCTTCTAATGGGCTCAGGGAGCCCTGGTGGCTCAGTGGTTAAGAGAGCTCGGCTGTTACCCAAAAGGTTGGCAGTTCCAGTCCACCAACCGCTTCTTAGAAAGCCTATGGGGCAGTTCTACTCTGTCCTATAGGGTCGCTGTGAGTGGTATCTACTTGAGGGCAAGGAGTTTTTCAAGAGTTGTCATTATTACCAATTAAATGATGCTTAGGTCTCCTGCACTTGCTACACGCATGCGCTGTTGTTTTTGTTGCTGCTGGTGTTTTCATAGTCGCTAATTTTGTCAACTTTTCTGGTGTTTTAGCTATAATATTGTGGTAATTAGTATTTGTGAACCTACATCGATAACTTTGTTGAAAATGAAGTACTAATTAAAGGAAAAGAAGGAGTGACATACGGGAATTGTGATTTATGAGTAACAGTACGAAAAACAGTATTAAGGATTCTGTATGGTCTACTGTGGTAGAAGGTCCGTGGGGGAGTGACACTATGAGTTACCGCACTGGATGACACTAATCCTAGTGACACCACTGCTCCCGGAATCCTCACTTTCCAGCTTCATTGTCCTTTTGCTGCAGAATAAACGTTCGGTTATTTCTAAGTTGTTCTCAGTTTCCTGTCAGATATTTTGATTGCTTATTTAACACTGAACATTCTGTTTTTCAGTCAAAGGTGATTGAAATTTCTTATCATAAGTTTAACATTAAAGTCTTTGGAATGATGTACTTTTGTTGTTGTTTGTTTGTTTGTTTTGTTTTAGAGATAAGATCTGAAGTTTATGTGGGATTTGCTTCAAAAGCATACTGTGGCTGAAGTGTGGAGAACTGGGTAGCGGTATAGATAAAAAGTTTGGGTATGCTGATAATTGTTGAAGTGGGATGGTGGATGCATAGGTGTTTATTATAATTCTATTATACTTTCTACTTTCTATATATTTGAAAAAGTATACGCAATTAAAGTTAAATTATGGGTTTTCTCTTTGCCAATATTGTGAACTAAAATAATCAAGCTGAACAAACATTTTCTCTCCTATTTGAACACAGTACAGGTTACCGATTTATTTTACAAAACCTCAAACACAAAAAAACCCTAAAAGGGAAGGCTATTGGATTATAATTCTCAGTAAGTGGGCAAATAACATTTACTACTTATTTTAATTTACAAGACTGGCAAAAGGAAAGCCCATAATTTAACTTTTTTTATGGGCATCTTTTCCCAAATATATAAAAAGTAGAAAGTATAATGTTGTTAGGTGCCGTCGAATTGGTTCTGACTCATAGCAACCCCATGTACAACAGAATGAAACACTGCCTGGTCCTGTGCCATCCTAACAATCGTTCCTATGCTTGAGCCCGTTGTTGCAGCCACTGTGTCAGTCTTTCTCGTTGAAGGTCTTCCTCTTTTTCGCTGACCCTCTACTTTACCAGACATGATGTCCTTCTCCAGGACTGGTCCCCCCTGATAACATGTCCAAAGTATGTGAGATGAAGTCTCACCATCCTTGTTTCCAAGGAGCACTCTGGCTGTATTCTTCCAAGACAGATTTGTTCATCCTTCTGGAAGTCCATGATATGTTCAGTATTCTTTGCCAACACATAATTCAAAGGCATCAATTCTTCTTTGGTTTTCCTTATTCATTGTCCAACTTTCACATGCATATGAGGCAATTAAGAACACCATGGCTTTGGTTAGGTGCACCTTAGTCCTTAAAATGATATCTTTGCTTTTTAACACTTTAAAGAGATCTTTTGCAGCAGATTTGCCCAATGCAATGTGTCATTTGATTTCTTGACTGCTGCTTCCATGGGCGTTGATTGTGGATCCAGTAAAATGAAATCCTTGACAACTTCAGTCTTTTCTCCATTTATCATGATGTTGCCTATTGGTCCAGTTGTGCGGATTTTTGTTTTCTTTATCTTGAGGTGTAATCCATACTGGAGGCTGTGGTCTTTGATCTTCATCAGTAAGTGCTTCAAGTCCTCTTCACTATTAGCAAGCAAGGTTATGTCATCTGCATATCACAGGCTGTTAATGAGTCTTCCTCCAATCCTAATGTCCCATTCTTCTTCGTATAGTCCAGCTTCTTGGATTATTTGTTCAGCATACAGATTGAATAAGTATAGCGAAAGGATACAACCCTGATGCTCACCTTTCTTCACCATAAACCATGCAGCATTTCCTTGTTCTGTTCCAACGACTACCTCTTGGTCTATGTACAGGTTTCTCATGAGCACGATTAAGTGTTCTAGAATTCCCGTTCTTCACAATGTTATGCATAATTTGTTATGATCCACACAGTCAAATGCCTTTGCATATTCAATAAAACACAGTTAAATATCTTTCTGGTTTTCTCTGTTTCAGCCAAGATCCATCTGACATCAGCAGTGATATCCCTTGTTCCACATCACTTATGCACCCATCATCCTGCTTCAACAATTACCAACATACCCAAACTTTTTATCTATAAACCCATTGGCATCTAGTGGGTTCTCACTCATGATGACTCCATGTGTACAAAGTAGAACTGCTCCATAGAGTTTTCTTGGCCGTAGTCTTTGTGGAATCAGATTGCCAGGCTTTCTTCCATGGTACCACTGGGTGGGTTCAAACTACCAACTTTTAGGTTAGTAGTCAAGTGCAAACCATTTGTGTCATCCAGGGAGCTTTAGTGGGAGGGATAAAAAAAGGGCAAAGCTGACTTAGTCTAGCCGTTCTTTAGAGATATACCTATGTCACAGCATTCAAGGGAATCAAAGAAGAGGCTAAATAACTATTATGTTCTGTGCCCACTGACCACGGTCAGATCTGTTGCAAAGGCAGTTGCATGTTCTAACACTGATGCAGGATGATGTTTACTCTGTCTCTTCTTCTTTAATTGAAGATCTTTTAATATTTTAAAGTCAAATTTGACAGTTATTAAATATGACATAGAAAGTTGTTATAACTTAAATATTTCCAAAATTACAGCCGAAAATTAAATGTGTTAACTTTATAACATCATAGCATATTTTATGTCCTGGACATTTATCCTTCATTTTTAGTATAGAAGATATAATGACTTAGTTTTACAGGAATGTCATGCATGTAATAAAATAGTACCGGTTCATTCTGTTGTTTCTTAGATTTTCAAATACAGATCCTACTATTGCTATATTAAGGTAGACAGGATTTTTGTCCATTTTAATAATGGAAAAACAGTAAGATGAATACATTAATCAGTTTCTAAACTATTTATAACCCATTACTGTGGAGCCAATTCCGACTCATGGCGACTCCAGGTGTTATAAGATAGAACTGCTCCACAGGGTTTTCTTGGCTGCAATCTTTACAGAAGCAAATTGCCAGACCTTGCTTCTGTGGCACAGCCGGGTGGGTTCAGACTATTTAAGCTTCTTTTAAAAGAGAGTTGGGCTGAATCTCTTTAACATAAGAATTGACATAATGAGAGTGGTACAAAAAATAAAGGTCACAAAATGTTTATTGACAACATTGTTTTAGGACAGCGGCATATTGCTAGCTCATTGTATAAGACTTGTAGTTTATTTTTTCAAAGATAAATATTGTAAATTATTTTTTTCTCTTGATTTTTTTTTTTTTTGGTGGGGAGGTTTGGCTATGCAGGTAGTCTCTGACTTAGGATGTATTCGAGTTACAATGAACCATACTTACGACTGTCTTTTTTTTTGTACATTTTATCCTTAGTAATATGTACTACATACAATGTTGCAGCCCGTAATTTGCTGATGTTTTCATTCTCAGATGTTCACTGGCAGATGTTTATAGGTAATGTTTCCATCCCCTAAAGACAGATAAAGATCAGATTTATGAAGATACTGATAATCAAAGGCAATAATAATGAAAATTAAAAAAAAAAAGAGGTATTCGACTTACATGAAAACCAACTTATGATGGGGCGTTGGAATGGAACCCTGTTGTAAATTGAGGACGACATGTGGTTACATATTAGCATTTACAACATTGAAAGTGGAGCTTCTTCTCCATTGTTTCTTCTTGTTTCCAATAGTCATTTGACACATTAAAAAATTTATTGAACGCTTACTACATGCAGTGCATTGTAGAAGGCTTATGAATTTAAAAATATTCTGTACAGGGGAATCTTAAGTATTGTGATGTCACAGAATATAGCACTATAAGAAAAAGACTTCACCTGTAGTTTTTAGGACTTTAAAAAAAAGTGAGTCCTCTTTCCTTGCTACTTTCCATATATATTCTCAGAAAATTTTTGTATACGTACTTTGGGACACATAGTACTCAATAAATGTTTGCTAAATCACTGATGAAGGAATTTACAGTAATTAAAATAATAGAAAATCTGTGATTTACAATACCAAAAAGGAGTATTTCTAGATAATGGATTTTATTCTTTAAAGGAAATTACAAAAAATTTACTTATTTAGTAATTTCTCTGCCTATGATCCATTACTTCTTTTAATTGGAACAGTAACCTTTTGCTTTTGTATTACAGTTATTTTTAAGAGAAATGAATAGAAATAACGCATTTTGAGGAAGCCATGGCAAAATCAAATACAAAACACAGAACTTGTTCTCGAGAATCTTCAGTATCTTCTCTTCTGTCAAGCTGCAACCTGAGTGGTACTAATTCGTCTAATTCTGGTGGCTGTTTTCAGTATAAGGATAAATTATACAGCTCTGCTTCTCAGGCTTTACAGGCCTATATTGATGATTATGATCTAAGCCGAATATATCCTGGTGCAAGCACTGGAAAGATTAACATTGATGAGGGTTCTACTAATATGTCAAAATTCTCCACTTATGTTTATAAAAACAATGGTATGCTTTTATTATTCTTTATATTTTCAACAATATGTCTAATAATTTGAAGCCTTTGAGATATATGCTGTAGCTTTGGAAAACTAGACTTTTTTTTGTTGTTCCTTTTGGGTAAAAATGACTCTTATAATACTGGGAATCTGGATATTTTTGTAAAATGGTTCTGTAATTTTCTAGTTCCCAGGAATTTGTAGCTAAGATCCTCTTTGACCTTGGAGGGGAAGCTGACGAATGTAACTGATAAATAGCAGGTGGTGGATCCAAAACCCTTAAACCATTTCACTGTAGCATAACGGAAAGAGCATTGACTTGGTGGTTTTCTCTTTCATTAACTTAATGACTTTGAATAAATCTCTATCTTTCTTAGTCTGAACTTGATCTATTGATGGGATAGGACTATATTAGTCTTTCTAATCTGTATTCTGTGGAACACTAGTATTAACAAAATGCTAAGAGTTTTTCCTTGGTAGGGTTTCCATGGTGACAAGTTTGGAAAATACAGTTGTTGATGAGCAAATTAGCACTTTACTGAGTACTACAGAGTAGGCCTAAAATGGAAACAGTTTGCATTCAACCCTTAGAGGGATATGGGCACTATATTCCCAATACATTTAATATCGTATTTATTTTTATGTTGTAGCCAGTAATGAGTGACCAATATTAATATGATTGTGTTAGTACATCAGATATGTCTAGATGAAAAAAGTTGAAGAAGGAGTAAGAGAACACAGGAAAATTCAGGAGGTTGGAGAGGAAAGGGTAGAAGTAAAACAGATCAAGAGAAAGAAAGTGTATCCTATTTTACCAACTTAAACCGTTTTTACTATTAATCAAAGCTTTAGTGAGGATAAGGGGAAAGTGGCAGATTAAATTCTTAATTCTCACTTACTGTTGAATATTATTATAAAGTGTTTATATGTGATATAGGAAGATAAACAGAACTGTGCTTTGTTTTTCAGCTTTTGAAAATCTTGATCACAAGAAGAGCTCAATCTCCTTGTCGTTATCCCATAGAAAACAGACTCTTAATGACATAGACTCCATTAGCCTAACTACTGATGATCTATTAAAACTTCCAGCAGATGGATCATTACCTTCTTCCACTTATGTCGGACCAGGTCACCGAACTAACAGGAAAAACAAGAAATGCTTTGGAAGACTAGGTTCATCAGACGTTGAAAAGAATCCAAATTTTCAAGAACCCTTCTTTCCTGTGGGCAAGGATAACTTAGTTACTTCTCTTGTATACACAAATGTAAATGGAAAGCAACGTGTTAGGCTAAAAAATGCAAAAATTGCGAATAAGACTAATAAATGCGTTTCTGAACCATCTTTGTCTTTTTCCAAGAAGTCATCGTCCAAGGACAGTTCAGAACACAATCTTGAAAAGAATTATCCAAGATGGCTTACTAGTCAGAAATCTGACCTCAATGTTTCAGGGATAACTAGTATACCTGATTTCAAATATCCAGTCTGGCTCCACAATCAAGACTTGCTACCTGATACAAGTAGTCAAAGGACTTATAAAATACTGAAAGAAGATCAGTGTTCCCCTAAACATAGTTATCAGGCACAAAGAACTTCTCGGCATATGAATAAGTTAGATTGTTTTGAATATTCTTTTGAACCCTCAAACTTTTCAAATTCCTTGCATGATGATAAAGGATTAGTTAATGAGTACAAATGTGATTTTGAGTGTAGCCAATGTCACTATGAGAATCCACTTCTCCCAGGACAATCCAAAAAGCCATTCAGTGGTAATACTTTTTTTTTTTTTTAAAGAACCAAATGAAATGTTATAAATTTGACCTAATATCTGGGAGCTTTTATGTTTTGCTGTAATGATCAGTTGTTATACCTTAATGGTGTCTGTTTATGTAACACTTTAACTAGAAAGTGTCTTTTCTCCCCTTTTTTCTTTGTTTGAATCTCACATTTTAACATTAACTTACTGTTACAGATATATGTGCATTCCAAATTATCTGAATTCTTATTGCCTTTGTGACATTTTATGGTGCTTTGCATTTTTTTCTTAAATAATTAATACAATCTTTTTAAATTAGATGACAAAATTGAATTGCTTATCCTGAAAGCCAAGAGAAATCTAGAGCATTCTACTGAAGAATTACCAAGCTCTATGAAAAATGATGGCAGTCCTTGCTCATTAGATAAACTTGAAGCAGAAAGATCATGGGAAAATATTCCTGTTACTTTGTAAGTAAGCAACAATTAAAAAAAACTATTTAATGTTCTAAATGAAAAAGTGTCTCAAGAACCTCTGATTTATTTTTTATATAACTTAATGATTTAAACAAATGGTAACTCTGTAGAACATAGCTTTCAGTGTTGCTCATTTTAAATTGCATTTTTCATGTGCTACCACCAGATGGTGTAGTGTTTCATAACCTAGGTATATAACTTCTTTGGTAGATGTTTCTTTTGTTTCACTATAAAAATATTCACATATATCTTAATAAGAGGAATTAGAACCTAAAACAATTATTTTGCAGATGGAGAGTGTTATTAAATTCTTGTCACTTTGTTTGTACTTTAAGATTTTCCCCCGTATATTCTCTCCATATATTGGAGTCATGCGTTTCTTTTCATTTATATTTCACTGTCTTTTAGACTTCTTTTTCCTTAAATGATTGTGTATCTTCTTGTCTATTGTATACATTTTTGTAATTCCTAAGATTGTTTTTATTTGCGTGCTTAACCTCTCTATGACATAGTTTTTCAGAATAATTTTAAAAATGATTATCTAGATGCTTGTGAATACTTGTGAGAGAAGAGTTAGAGTTGGGAGCTTAGGTAGGAAAACTTTTATTCTTAGTAATAGTACATGTGAACTTATCAGAAAGATGTTCTTGATAACCCCATATCTTGGCTTAAAAAACCCCAAAACCCATTGCTGTCAAGTCAGTTCTGACTCATGGTCACCCTATAGGATAGAGTAGAATAGAACTGCCCTGTAGGGTTTCCAAGGAGCAGCTGCTGGATTTGAACTGCTGACCTTTTTTTTTTAGGTTGGCAGCCAAGCTCCTAACCACTGCGCCACCAGGGCTCCACAGGCTCTGGTAATTTATCTATTATCTTACTTTACTTGCTTAAACTTCCATTCTGTTGTACACCGAGAATCTGTTAATTCTTGGATCCTTTTTTGATTACTGCTGAGTTGAACATCTTATTTTTTTGAATGTGGATACTGACTATAATTTCAGTTTGGAATCCTGGGCTTGCCTTTTTATTGCTATGAGACTTTTGCAAGTTACTTAGCTTCTCTAAACTTTAGTTTCCCCAACTACAAAATGGAGAAATAATACCTACTTTGGATTTGTTTAGGAGCCCTGGTTGTGCAATGGTTACAGTGCTCGGCTGCCAACTGAAAGGTCAGGGGTTTGAATCCACTGTCTGCTCTGTGGAGAAAAGATGTGGCAATTTGCTTCTGTAAAGATTTACAGCCTTGGAAACCCTATGGGGCAGTTGTACTCTGTCCTGTAGGGTCGCTATGAGTCAAAATCGACTGGATGGCAGTGGGTTTTTGGGTTTCAGTTTGTTTTGAAGATCTGATTGATTAAAAAATGAATAGAAAGCACTTAGGATAGTTTCTGACTTATTGTGAGCTCTCTTGTAAGTTGTAGTAGCGGTGATGATTATCCAGAATATTTGTTTCTACAGTTACCTTCATTCCTTAAGTTGTTTCAATAATATCTTTTTTTTTAAAACCCGGGTTAATAACTAGCTCACTTAATTCTTTTTTTTTTAACCTTTATTTTGTTGTTACTGTTGAGAAAACACACAGCAAAACAGATACTAATTTGACAATTTCTGTATGTACACTGCAGTGACATTGATTACATTCTTTGCGTTGTGCAATTATTCTCATCCTGCTTTTCTGAGTTGTTCCTCCCTCATTAACATAAACTCACTGCCCCCTAAGATTCCTTCTAATCCATCAAGTTGCAGTTGTCAATTTAATCCCATATAAATGGTTCTTAAAAGAGCTAATGCTCAAGGCAGACATTCTTTACTAGTTAAGCTAAACGATTGTTTGGTTTTAAGAAGACTTCAGGGGATATTTTTGGTTTAAGGTTTAAAGATTATCTCAGGGGACTAGTATCGGGTTCATCCAGCCTCTATGGCTCCAGAAGGTCTGGATTCTGTGAGATTTTTAAATTCTGTTCCGCATTTTTCCAATTTCATCAGGAGCTCACTTATTTCTTAACGTTTCTCTTATGTTTCTTATTTCCTAATTTCTTATTTTCTTATCAGTTGGTCTGTATATTTGTAAAGTGCCATAGCTGCAGTGCTATGCAATGCTTTTAGTTGGAAACAAAATTAATGAGCAAGTAACTTCAGAGATGTTTACGGATTAAAATTTTTGAATGCATTTAATGTATTTTGTAATTAGATATACAACTTCTGACTTACATAATTAATATTAGTAATGGTTTGGTCAGTAGCTTGCATTCAATAGGTGATTTTTGGAAGATTGAATTAACATTATGATTGGTATGTTTAGATTGCTGAGAAAAAGGATTAGACCTTAATTTGACATTGACAAATTATTATCATCTGTCATCAAAAATACAATTGAATAGGGAAGTACTCAAGGTACTATAGTAAAAGGTAGAATACAGTCACAACCAGATAAGTGCTTTTTTGTTTCACTTTTTATTATGGAGAATTTCAAACAAACACAAAAATAGAAGACTATAATGAACTCCATGTACCCAGCACCTATCTTCAACAATTAAAAAAATACTGTCTGATGACAGTGAGTGGATGTATAAGCTATGTTGGTAAAGAATAGGGGGGAGAGACTACCTGTGAACAGGAAAAAGCTTATAATAAACTACAAATAAATGAGCCAGTAATGAAGTGCTGCTTATTAAAAAAATTAACATTATGATATTTGTATTATAAAAGATTCTTAGATATCTGAATACTGACTTACCAACACACCTTATGTTGATATATAAATAAGAGAGAGAAATAGAATGAATTTATTCTCTGTGACTAAAAGCACTTGATTTTGGGAACATGCTTCATATTTTTGCTGGGGATGCCCTTTCCTCTCCTGCGCCTTGAACATCAGTGGTTAAGAGCTCAGCTGCTAACTAAAAGGTCGGCAGTTTGAATCCACCAGCTGCTCCTTAGAAACCCTATAGGGTAGTTCTACTCTGCCCTATAGGGTCACTATGAGTCAGAATTGACTCAATGGCAACAGGTTATTAAAGTACCAGATATATATAGAAATAATTCAGTTAATTTATGCAATACTTCTGTGAGATAAGTAGTGCTACAGATGTAGAAATGGATGTTCAGATATGTTACCTAAGGTCATATAGCTAGTGGTTTTGAGATTTGCACTCAGGAATTTAAATTTCAAAATGGATCCTTTTCCCACTATAACCTGTTCTCTATATTAATGCTATTTCTGGGGGAGAAGTGAGGGAACAAGTAAATGACATTCCAATAGAAACTCTTAGGTGTTTCTGGATCATTGGGTAACTAACAATGTTTAATTGGAAAAAAAAAGTACTTCTATTTCAAACAAATTTTTGGAGCATAGCCTGTAGTTGAAGGCTTATTTGGGTAGTTGAGGACTAATGTCTTCAGTTTCCTTCTAGTTTTTCCTTAAAACTTAAACCAAAACCGAACCAAACCCATTTCCATCGAGTCAGTTCCGACTGATGACGATTCCATATGTTACAGAGTAGGATTGCTCCATAGGGTTATCTTGGCTGTAATCTTTACGGAAGCAGTTAGCCATGCCTTTTGACTGCAGCATTGCTAGGTAGGTTTGAATCACCAACCTATAGGTCAGTAGTCAAGGACAAACTGTTTGTGCCACCCAGGGACCTACTAAGCTTTAAAGTCCCTGATAAGTCTGTTTCTTATTAATGTCTTCTCTAATATCTTTGCATTTAATGCCTGTACCTTCTAATTAGCACCTTTTTATATATTGCCGCATTTATAAAATCAGTGTCTCACTACAAAATACTCGATCAGTGCATTTGATTATGTACTCCTGTTAATTTACACAAATTAGCTCTATATTTACAATAAAAAATTTTTTCTCTCAAGTTTACTTGCATTATATGTTTTATACTACTTTGAACAACCAGTAAAGATTTATTGAATGCCTACATGTTGAAGAAAATGTCTTGTTTTGAGGATTTTAAAACCTATTAGGCACATTCAAGGCTAAAAGGAGTCTTGTAATACAAAATGAGGACTAAGATACAAAGCAGAATTCTATGTAAACACCCACTGCTGTGGAGTTGATTCTGACTCATAGCAACCCTGTAGGACAGAGTAGAACTGCCCCATAGGGTTTCCAAGGCTGCAGTCTTTGCAGAGTGGCTGGTGGGTTCAACCGCCAACCTTTCAGTTAGCAGCCAAGCACTTAACCACAGCACCACCAGGATTCCTTAGAATTCTGTATTAAAAAAAAACCGTTGCTGTCAAGTCGATTACTGACTCATAGTGACCCTATAGTGGGTGCCAAATGAGTGACATAAACAAGTGTAGAGTGTGCTTGATGGACTTGTCAGGCAGATGAAGGCTCATACTTTACTGATCTTTAATTGAACATTGTGTGTCAAATACTCTGCTGGTATTTTCTACATGTGCTTTATCATTTGGTATTGAAGCAGAGTTGTGAATTGGACCTTGAAGGTTAGTTTGGAATTGGGTAGGAAGGAAGAGAAGGTGATTCTGAAGTTGAGTTTTTGGTAACAAAGGCACCAAATTAGGAAATTATAGGACATATTTTGTTGGAATGATTCACTCTGGACAGACTAAGAGTTTTAGATGACAGATCAAAAAATTTGTATTTGGTAAATATTGAAGAATTATTTGAAGATTTTTGAGCTAGGATTGGTGGGATAGATGAAAGAAATATTCTAGGAAAAGTTGATGAGAGTGGATATGCTGGATGTGAGGGGTGGGAAATAGACTGGATATATTTTGGTTGTCATAAGTTTTCAGGTCTGGTCTAGACCAGTGAAAAAGAAGAAGACCCTCAATGAGATGGACTGACACAGTGGCTGCAACAACGGGCTCAAGTATAATAACAATTATGAGGATAGACTTAAGCATAACAACAATTGTGAGGATGGTGCAGGACTGGACAGTGTTTTGTTCTGTTGTACGTAGAGTCGCTATGAATCGGAACTGACTCAATGGCACCTAACAACAACAACAACAACAAAGTTTCAGGTCTGGTCTAGAGTGTTGGCTAAATAGAAAATGAGCTAATCCTCTTTTAAGAGGTATGTTGTTGTATTGTTAGGAATAGCTGTCAATATGTTAATACTTTGACTAAAGATTTATTAAAAGTACTTATGTTTTTTGGGCATTATGATTTATTTAAGGTTGTGAAAGCAGAGGAGGGCAGTGGTGGTTCCGTGGTAGAATTCTGGTCTTCCATGCAGGAGAGCTGGGTTCGATTCCTGGCCAGTGCACCTCATGTGCAGCCATTACCCATCTATCAGTGGAGGCTTGTGAGTTCCTATAATTCTGGGTAGTTTTTAGCGGAGCTTCCAGACTAAGATTAGGAAGAAAAGTTTGGAGATCTACTAACAGAAATTGGCCTATGGATAACAGTGGTCTGATCCTGTTGTGCCTGGGGTCCCATGAGTCAGGGGCCAACTCGACGGCAGCTAACAATAACACGAAAGCAGAAGGTTAAATTGAATACCTTACATTTAAACTTTTTGTTATAAAATGTCAACCATACAATAAAGTAGAGAGAACAAGTATCCTGCTGTGCTATGTAGCATATAATCTTTGGACAGGTGTTGATCTTGAACTCTTTCGTTACTTGTCTGTGCTAAGATAACTAGGAAGTGAGAGTGTTAGAACTTTTATAGCACTACAATGACATTTTAATTGTATTTAGTAAAACTGTCAGTCTGTACTAGATTAATAGAAAAGGAAACTTACCCTTTAGCACAGATTATTTGAGAAATTGGTTAAAAATTAGATTCTCTCTACTTCCACATTCTCATTGTGATCTCTCTGGGGATAAAAATATGTATTTTAGACAAATACATCAGCTCCCTTTGAGAAGCAGTGATTGTGTTTGTTGGGCAGCCTTGAGTTGAATCCTGGTTCTAAGGCAGGCTATCAATTGCTCTGGGCCTCATTTATAAAAGGAAGGTAACACTCACTTCACAGGGCTGTTTTGAGAACAAAATGGGGAAAAAGTGTATGCAAAGTACTTAGCCTAGTGCCAGGCATGTTATGAAAGGTCTGTGAGTGGTAATTATAATTTATTAGACTATTTAGACAATGAGAAGCTTATATAGAAGCTAATACATATCTTGGTACACAAAAGATTAAAATAAGATTTGGTTTAGTAGAGAACTCAAATTTAGCTGATTTTGAATGTTTAATTTGGAATTGTGGCACTTGAGTAGAAAGTTTAATGAATGCTTAGGAGAGGAGAGGGGTTTAGGGAGACAATTCAAGGACACCAGTGTTAGGTGTGGGTGAGAGTGGGGTGAATATTATGACACGAAACTCTTTTTTTCTTCATCCTCCCAAACTGACCTTCTTCCTCTGCACCACACTTGGGACAGGTAAGAAGCAGGGATTTAGGGAGGGGTTGGATTCTGGTGTCAGTTTAGAGAGAGGAGGAGGGTGTTAACCAAGCAACATCAATATGCATCATATCCATGATGATTATTTTTTGGTGACCACTTTTATTTAAATGGTAACTATTAAATTATATACTTTTTTTTTTTTAAAATAATTTGGGAACTTAACTTGCTATTTTGTATCCTTTAAATCCTATTTAGCAAATCACCTGTTCCTGTTTACTCTGATGATAATCCTCAACAAACCTCAAACGTGAAATATGCTAAAGAGTTCCTTGAAGACTTTTTAAATAATGATAATCAGGTGGGTGGAATTAAATCTGTAACTTGTTGGAAGAAGATTTATGACTAACATATAGATATTAATTGCTAATTTATTTAGATATTTTAAAACAAATCAAATTATCTAAATCTGTTGCTCCTCAACACAAAACCATCACACCTTCTAGAATTATTGATAATTTTATTTTAGTATTCTTAAAGTAGAGCGACCTAGGATTGAAGTCTATGAAGAGCCTAAATTGTCATGACAATGTTTTGTTGTTGTTGTTGTTGTTTTCTGGAAAACATGTCATAAAGCATACGATTACAGAATAAATTCTGTTTTCCCATAGGGAAGTTGATTATTGAGAGGTATGTTTCTAACAAAGATAAAAATTGCCATAATAGCTTAAAATAAGAAAATTACTACCTACTTTTACAGAATCAGTATATGTGCATCTTGCAGTGAATTCCCAAGTAAAATATAAATGTATATGTATGCAAATAAGAAATAATATGTAATTTGACTTAAAATATAAGCCATGAATGTTAAATAGTAAAATAATACTTTTGGGATCTGAACATTTAGAGGATTGGATGAGTTAAACACTCACAACAAAAATTAGCATAAACATTTAATAAAAATGTCTTTTCCTTCAGTGAAATTTACTAGAGTAAGTAGAGGTTGTCAGAATATGTCTGATCTTAGAACTGTACATAAAATGCTATAGCATATGCTTGATAAGTGCAGCTTCATTATCAAATATTTATTCAGCAAATATTTGAGTATTAAGGACTTTTCTAGGAACTGCATTCCTAGCACTGAGTAAGAGAGTTGTCTCTGTCCTCTTGGATTTTATATTTTAGTCGGGGGTTTTTGTTAGCCACAGTAAACAAAAATATAATATGTAATATAAGTGTTATGCAGAAAAATTAATTGGGATATAGAGATGGGTGTTCAATTTTAGATAGGGTAATCAGGGGAGGCTTCTCTAATGAGGTAACATTTGAGCATAATACCTGAAGAATGAACAAGCCAAGCACTTGTGAGGGAATAGCTTTAAGGCAGAGGTAATAGGAAGTTCAAAGGCTCCAAGGCAGGAGTTTGTTTGGCATGTTCAGGGAATATCAGAGTCCAGTGAGTGTGGCTCAATCAGAAAGAACAAGGGAAAGAGTGGTGAGAGGTAAGGTGGGAGAGGTAGCCGGGATCCAGATCATGTATATATAAGCTATGCAATGAAGATTTTATTCTAAGTGAGATGAGAAGTCATTGGAGAGTTTCGAGTGGGAGAATGAAACGATTGGATTTACATTTTTAAATATAAAATGGTAGCTGTATAGAAATATATGTATGTATACTACCCCACATGCACTCACACATATGAATTTATTTCTATATTGATCTCTGTGTCTATATGCTATGCTATTATATGATATTATAATTAGTCTTAATTATCTAGTGCTTCTATAACAGAAATACCACAAGTGAGTGGCTTTAACTGAAATTTATTTTCTCACAGTTTAGGAGGCTAGAAGTCTGAAATCAGGGTGCTGACTTAGAGGAAGTCTTTCTCTCTCTGTTGGCTCTGGAGGAAGGTCCTTGTCTCTTCTGAGCTTCTGCTCCTGTGCAGTCTTTTTTTTTTTTTTTGTGCAGTCTTGATGTGGCTTGGCATCTCTCTTCTCCCATCTCTGCTTCACCACATGCTTGTTTAATCTCTTTTGTATCTCAAAAGAGATTGACTCAAGATACACTCCATACTAATCCTGTCTCATTAACATATCAAAGACAACACGTTCCCAAATGGGATTATAACCACAGGCATAGAGGCTAGGATTTACAACATATGTTTTGGGGGGACACAATTCAATTCATAACAATTATATTATACTATATTATATAACGAAGCCTTGGTGGTGCAGTGGTTAAGAGCCTGGCTGCTAACCAAAATGTCAGCAGTTCGAATCCACCAGCTGCTCTTTGGAAACCCTGTGGGGCAGTTCTACTCTGTCATATAGAGAGTCACTATGAATCAGAATCAACTCATCGGCAACATATTCTTTTTTTTTTTTTTTTAATATATGTATATTAAAAACCATGAGTTTATACTGATAACCTATGATTCCAGTCCAATACTATATGCATGTTTTGTTTTAGTCTTTCACCTTCTTTATTTGTAATTTCTTTCTGTACATGTAAGAAACCTGACTCATTATCTACAATAAATTTACTTATTTGTTCAATCCTGGTATACAAAAAAGTAGGTTCAGAACTGCTAGCACATAGTCCTGTAAAAAACAAATTTACTAACTAGATTACATTATTTGTGTAAAATTCTTTCTGTCTTTAGCTTTACAATATCCAATCCAAATACTGTTTTTCAAAATTACTTACTTTAATTTTTTCCCCAACCCCCTTCAGTGTGGTTATGTTATTCATTTGTAATACAGTTAGGTGGTTCATTTGTATTGGGTACATGTGTTTGGTTTAACAAATGCTGCATTCTGCTTGGTTTAAATTGTTTATTTTTTGAGTATTTGAAACATTACTGTGGTTCTAAGAGTTAGAGCTATACAAAAAAGATATACTGAGAGAAGTTCACTATCAAGTGGGTTTTTTTTTTTTTGTGTGTGTGTTTTTAAATTTCTTTGTGGCAAAATACATATAAAATTTGTCACTTTAACCATTTTTAAGTGTATAATCCATTGGCGTGGATTACATTCACAGTGTTGTGCGAACATCACCACTATTCATTTCAGTCACCCTGTCTTAGTCATCCAGTGCTGCTCTAACAGAAATACCACGAGTTGATGGTTTTAACAAAGAGAAATTTATTTTCTCAGTCCAGTAGGCTACAAGTCCAAATTCAGGGCATCAGCTCCAAGGGAGGCTTCAAGTCCAAATTCAGGGCATCAGCTCCAGGGGAAGGCTTTCTCTGTTGGCTCTGGAGGAAGGTCCATGTCATCAATCTTCCCTTGTTCTGGGAGCTTCTCTGCGCAGGAACCTTAGGTCCAAAGGATGCGCTCTGCTCCCAGCACTGTTTTCTTGGTGGTATGAGGTTCCTCAACTCTCTGTTTGTTTCCCCTTCCTTTTATCTCTTGAGACATAAAAGGTGGTGCAGGCCACACCCCAGAGAAACTCCCTTTACATTGGATCAGGGATGTGACCTGGGTAAGGGTGGTGTTACAATCCCACCCTAATCCTCTTTAATGTAAAATTACAATCACAAAATAGAAGACAACCACCCAACACTGGGAATCATGGCCTAGCCAAACTGATACACACATTTTTTGGGGGACACAATTCAATCCATGACACAGCCCAAACAGAAACTTGGTACCCAGTAAGCAATAACTCCCCATTCTTCCCTCTCCTCTAGCCCCTGGTAACCTCTAGTCTACTTTCTATCTCTATGAATTTGCCTATGGATATTTCATACAGGTGAAGTCATACAATATTTGTCCTTTTGTGTCTGGCTTATTTCACCAGCATAATGTTTTCAAGGTTCATCCATATTATAGCATGTATTAGAACTTCATTCCTTTTTATGACAGAATAATATTTCATTGTATGTATTTGCCACATTTTGTTTATCCATTTGTCTTTTGATGGATACTTAGATTATTTTCACCTTTTGGCTGTTGTGAATAATGCTGCTATGAACATTGTGTACAAGCATCTGGTTGAATCCCTGCTTTCAATTCTTTTGGGTATATACCTAGGAGTGGAATTGCTGGGTCGTATGGTAATTTTATGTTTAACTTTTTGAGGAACCACCAAACTGTTTTCCACAGTGGCTGTACAATTTTGCATTCTCACCAGCAATGCACGAGGGTTCCAACTTCTCCACATCTTCACCAATACTTTATGTTGTTTGGATAATTGCCGTCCTAGTAAGTGTAAAGTATATCTCGTTGTGATTTGGTTTGTATTTCCCTAACACTGTTAGGTTTTAATAGAAAGTCTCAAAACAAATCATACCACACATGCCAACATTTATTAAACATTCATTAGCGAATGGCATAAAACAGTTTATATAGTAAACTGTTTTTGTCTTTTTTAGGTGTTCTGACCACTACCTTGCATGAAAGGTTTACTCAATTGAGGCAGACATAACAAATTCTAGAGGCAGGCTTTTGCAACCCTATGGATGGCACCAGGCAACCCAAAATTCTTCTAAACCAGTGGCTGAATGCAGGATCATTTACACATAATACCTCAGGTGCTGTCTCTAATGGTACAGGGATACAAGGCTAGCTAATTCTTATATCCTGTTTCTTATATCCTATTCATATAATGGGGAAAATCTTTAAAATCTTTTTTAGCCATTATACTTACCTTGAATATCTTCACAAATGAGAGCCTATTTCTCAGTGGAAGTCAGAATTAGTGAGATTGAAGATAAAGCACTTGACACCAACTTATATGAAGAACAATCAGATAAAAGAATTTAAAAAAATGAAGAAACCCTAAGAATTATGTGGGACTCTATCAAGAGGAATAACCTATTAGTGATTGGAGTACCAGAACAGGGTGGGGGATAACAGAAAACACAGAGAGAATTGTTGAAGATTTGTTGGCAGAAAACTTTCCTGAGATCGTGAAAGAAGAGAAGATATCTATCCAAGATGCTCATCGAACCCCACACAAGGTAGATCCCAAAGAAAGTCACCAAGACATATTATAATCAAACTTGCCAAAACCAAAGATAGAGAATTTTAAAAGCAGCTAGGGATAAACGAAAAGTCGTCTACAAAGGAGAGTCAGTAAGAGTAAGCTGAGACTACTCAGCAGAAGCCATGCAGGCAAGAGGGAATGGGATGACATATATAAACCCTTGAAGGAAAAAATTGCCAGCCAAGAATTATATATCTAGCAAAGCTGTCTCTCAAATACAATGGTGAAATTAGGGCATTTCCAGATAAACAGAAGTTTAGGGAATTTGCAAAAACCGAACCAAAATTACAAGAAATATTAAAGGAAGTCCTCCAGTTAGAAAATGAATAATATCAGATAACAACCGAAGAGTAGAACACAGGACAGAGCAACCATATATCAACTCAGATAGGGAAGTCATAAAAATAAATCAAAGCTAAAACACTGAAAATAGGGAAACAGAGATGTCAATATGTAAAAGATGATAACATTGAAACAAAAAAGAGGGACTAAAAAATGTAGTCATAGATCTTTCATACGGAGAGGAAATCAAGGCAATATAAAGAAATAAAAGACTGGTTTAAACCTAGAAAAATAGGGGTAAATATTAAGGTAACCACAAAGGAAACTAACAATCCTACACATCAAAATAAAAAACAAGAAAAGCATAAGGACTCAGCAAATACAAAATCAACAACAGCAAAACAAATGAAAAGGAAATACATAAAGAAAAATGACTCAGCACAGAAAATTAAATGGAATGAAGAAACTGTGAACAACACACAAAAAAACACATCAGAATGACAGCGCTAAACTCATACCTATCAATAATTACACTGACTGGAAACGGACTAAATGCACCAATAAAGAGACAGAGTGGCAGATTGGATTAAAAAACACTATCCGTCTATATGCTGCCTACTAGAGACACATCTTAGACTTAAAGACACAGACAAACTAAAACTCAAAGGGTGGAAAAGAATATATCAAGCAAACAACAATCAAAAAAGAGCAGGAGTGGCAATATTTATCTCTGACAGAATAGACTTTAAAGTAAAATCCACCACAAAGGATAAGGAAGGACACTATATAATGATTAAAGGGTCAATACATCAGGAGGACATAACTATAATATTTACGCATACAACGACAGGGCTCCAAAATACATAAAACAAACTCTAACAGCACTGAAAAGAGAGATAGTCAGCTCCACAATAGTAGTAGGAGACTTTGACACACCACTTCCGGTGAAGGACAGAATATCCAGAAAGAAATTCAACAAAGACGCGGAAGATCTAAATGCTACAGTCAACCAACTTGATCTCATAGACATATACCAAATACTGCACCCAACAGCAGCCAAGTATACTTTCTTTTCCAGTGCACATTGAACATTCTCCAGAATAGACCACATATTAGGCCATAAAGCAAGCCTTAACAGAATCCAAAGCATTGAAATATTACAAAGCATCTTTTCTGACCATAAAGCCATAAAAGTAGAAATCAATAACAGAAAAAGCAAGGAAAAAAAAATCAAACACATGGAAACTGAACAACACCTTGCTCAAAAACTACTGGGTTACAGAAGAATTTAAGGATGGAATAAAGAAATTCTGAAGAAAACAAGATACAATGGAAAGATTAGTCCAAAGGACTAATGGACTACGACTACTACAGCCTCCACCAGACTGAGTCCAGTACAACTAGATGGTGCCCTGCTGCCACCACTGACTGCTCTGACAGGGATCACAACAGAGGGTCCCAGACAGAGCTGGAGAGAAATGTAGTACAAAATTCTAACTCACAAAAAAAGACCAGACTTACTGGCCTGACAGAGACTGGAGAAACCCCAAGAGTATGGCCCCGGACATCCTTTTAGCTCAGTTATGAAGTCACTCCCAAGGTTCACCCTCAGCCGAAGATTAGACAGTCCCATAAAACAAAATGAGACTAATAGGGCATAACAGTCCCGGGACAAGGACTAGAAGTCAGGAGGGGACAGGAAAGCTGGTAATTGGGAACCCAAGGTCGAGAAGGGACAGTGCTGACATGTCGTGGGGTTGTTAACCATTGTCATAAAACAATATGTGTACTAACTGTTTAATAAGAAACTATTTTTCCTGTAAGCCTTCATCTAAAGTACAAAAAATTAAAAAAAATCTAATACAAAAATAAAAAGTCAGACATTTAGTTCACATAATCTGTGTCTCAAGCCATATGAAGATTCAAACAGAAGAGAATTATTTTTAAACTATATGGACATGGGATATGATCATTTTGAAATATGATGTTATAAAAAAATTATTATTAAAGAGCATATGTGGAAAGAAACACAAAATTCACAGAGTCAAATGAGAATGAAAACACATCCTACCAGAACTTTTGGGACACAGCAAAAGCAGTGCTCAGAGGTCAATTTATAGCAATAAATGAACACATCCAAAAAGAAGAAAGAGCCAAAATCAAAACATTAACGCTACAACTCGAACAAGTAGAAAGAGAGCAGCAAAAGAAGCCCTTGGGCGCCAGAGGAAAGGAAATAATAAGAATTAGAGCAGAATTAAATGAAATAGAGAATAGAAATACAATTGAAAGAGTTAACAAGTCCAAAAGCTGGTTCTTTGAAAAGATCAACAAAATTGATAAACCATTGGCCAAACTGACAAAAG